CATTCCCAATTCTACTTCAGATCCTACCTTGCATACTTCTATTGTAGATCTCGCATCGCCTACTTCTGATTCTGATTTTCCTATTGCTTTCCGCAAAGGTAAAAAGACTTGTGTGACTAATCATCCTATTGCCCAGTTTGTTTCTTATCAGGGACTTTCACATAATTACCGGGCCTACCTTGCTGCCACCTCAGCTATTTCCATCCCTCGAATTGTATATGAGGTTTTGCAAGACCAACATTAGACAGCAGCCATGGCTGCTGAGATGGATGCCTTGCAGAAAAATAAGACATGGGATCTTGTTACTTTACCACAAAGAGAGAGGACTGTGGGTTGTAAATGGGTATTTACAGTTAAATATAAACCATACAGTATTGTTGATCGATATAAAGCTAGGCTAGTCGCCAAGGGCTTTACACAAACTCCGGGGAAGGACTTTAATGCTACTTTTGCTCTGGTCACCAAGCTGACTACTGTCCGCCTTCTTATTTACTTAGCGACTTGCTCCTCTTAGCCTCTTCACTAGTTAGATGTGAAGAATGCCTTTCTTCATGGGGATTTGACAGAAGAAATTTATATGGATCCTCTTTTGATTTTTGGCTTTAGGGGGAGTATTCTGGGAAAGTGTGTCGCCTTCTAAAATCCTTATATGGACTGAAGCAATCACCTCGGGCATGGTTTCACCGATTCAGTGATGTAGTTATTTCTATGGGTTTCACTCGATGTCACTCAGAACACACATGCTTCTTTCGTCGTAGTCTATAAAATTGTTGTGCCATTATCTTAGTATATGTTGATGACATAATAGTCATAAGAAATGATGCAGCTTTCATTGACAAGGTAAAGGTAAAAATAGACCTTAGACAGGCTTTTGAGGTTAAAGACTTAGGTCCTCTTCGATTTTTTCTTGGTATTGAGGTTGCACGCTTTAGGCATGACATTTCGCTCTCTCAGCGAAAGTATGCATTAGACCTCCTACAGGACACTGATATGCTTGGGTGTCGTCCTGCTTCCTCTCCTATAAATTCGACGCATCGGATTTATGCCGAGTCTGGAGACCTTCTTCCAGATCCGTCTGCTTATCAGCGCCTTGTTGGCCGCTTAATTTATCTAACAAACACTAGACCTGATCTCATATTTGCAGTTAGTGTTGTGAGTTAGTTCAGTTCATGCATGCTCCTCGGACCTCACACTTAGATGCAGTATACCGAATTCTTCGGTATCTCAAGTCTTGCTTAGGACTTGGTCTATTCTACAAAATCACACCACAGCCTCTTATCTCGTGCTACACCGATGTTGATTATGCTGGATCTCTGATTAACCGTCACTCTACTTCAGGTTTCTGTACTTTTCACCGGGGTAATTTTATTTCTTGGAAAAGTAAGAAACAAAGCATTGTGTCTCGTTCTTCTGCAAAGGTAGAGTACCGTGCCATGGCTTAGGGCACTTGTGAGATCTTTGGCTTCGTTCCCTATTGACTGAGCTAGGATTCCCTGTATTTAGTTCATCAACTCTCTTCTATGATAATCGGTCTGCTATTATGCTCGCATCTGACTCAGTTCTTCATGAGAGGACAAAGCATATTAAGGTTGATATTCAATTTCTTAGGATGAAAGTGCGATGTGGAGTTATCCATACTTCCTTCGTTTCTTCTACTAATCACCTTGCCGATATGTTCACAAAGTTAGTAGGACAATCTGCTCTTCACTATGGTATTGGCAAGTTGGGTGATAACGCTGAATATTGCATATTCAAGCCTTAAACGTGCATGTGTTGAGACCTTAAGTGATACTTCTATCAGTTTTATACTGATTTTAGTATATTTGTCTTTTGTAAGTAATTTCCCGAAGAACAGGACAAAAATCGTGATTCTGGAGCTTAAAGATTATTTCCAAAGCTTATGGAGTTGTACCAGACCATCCGAGGCAAGTTTGGAGTCAATCACGGGATTTTGGAGAAGTTCAAGTGCTAGAGCTCGAGCACAACCATTTGTGTTGTGCTCGAGCACAAAGTGGACTGAAGCAAGAAAAATAACTAAGGCAAAAATGCTCAAGCCCTAGATTTTATGCTCAAGCACAACATAAAAAGTTCGAGCATTTCTCAAAAAACTCGAGCACTAACTCCCTAGGGAAGATGAAAGATGCTTCAGAAATTCCAATTGCGAGAGTTCGATCTTTTCTCAAAAGGCTCGAGCATAAATCCACCTGGAAAGATGAAAATACGCTTCGGAAATCCAAGACGCAAAAGCTCGAGCATTTCTCAAAAAGCTCGAGCATAAGTTGAAAAAGGTCGGGCACAACTTCAAGAAATTTTCTAAGTGTTAAAGAAAAAGACGCGTCGAAAATAGTTGATGGAAATTTGGCTAAGTATGGAATTAGTGCTCGAGCATTTTCCAAAAAGCTCAAGCATAAGATTTTGTGCTTGAGCATTTTCTCTTTAGGCAAATTCCTTAAGTGCGGGATTAATTCTAAATCCATCCTATTAAGTCCCAGATGGGCCCAGATGACCCCAGAAGACCTAAAGCCCATCCAAGATGGGATAGAAGTCAGATGCTTCTATAAAAGAAGGTGAAAGGCCACAGAAAAACTCTCTTGCAATATTTCAGATCTAGCGGCGGCTTTTAGAGTTTTTAGAGTTTTCTTTGAAGATTTGAAGAAGAAGATCCACAGAAGAGGAGTTATAATCCATTGAGATGTTTTCCACACCAACAAAGATGACATTCTCCATCTCTATGAGTAGCTAAATCCTCTCTTAGGGCATTGATGTAACCCGAATCCAATTACTATGGTTTGATTGTTCTAAACTTTGGGATTTTTCGGCATTTATGTATAATTGAATGCATGATTCTTGAGCAATTGACTTAGATCTTCTAAGCAATTGGGTTTTTAATGAATAAAAATAATTTTTGATAAATTAATATCTTATCTTAGAATTAATTCTTCGTTAATTAAATTCAAACTATTCTTATTGTTTGAAATTGGCGGCTAAGGGCTTCTTATGACAATAAGAACAGTGAACATGCAATGGTGTTTAAACCAGTTTTTGTGAATGAATATTTTTATAGTTTATGCTTAAGGAAGATGAATTATTCTGCAAAATTAGTTTAGAGTAGGTAGGTAGATAATTTGTGCCAACCGAAGATAGGTTATTATTAACAAACATTCATGATTTATCTTCTTAAAAATTGAATTGAATTGAATTGAATGTCAATTCTTTTAGTGTTGAGGGTTCCTGAAACGATTATTAAATGGGTCGGATTTGAATTTACTTGTTGAGTATAATACCTTTACATCGACATAACGCGATTATAACCCATGAACACGTATTGCCACCCCTAGTGATTATACTCAATAGCATGAGCAGAAAATAAGCAAAGTAACCCAACCTGTTTATTAAACGAGTTAACATGTTAACCCGTTTAATAACCTGATTATCAAAATGAGAAATTTAATATTGTTAGCATATATGATATCTACGATTTATGGACTGACTTAACATAATAACAGAGATTTGATTATGCTATAGAATATGCCATCGAAGATGAGGCTTATCCCGCCATCTCCGACAGTGGCTCTGATACCAAAAAGCAATTTTGTAAAATTGGCGTACTCAATTTGAGAGCCTGACTATCATTATATATAAGAGAAAAATTATAAATATGGAAAGAGAATAAAAAATAAATCAGAATAAAAATCAAATCCCAAAACAAAAGCCTAAATATTAGCCTATAATGAAGACCCAATAAATCTACCACAATCATCGAGTCAACTTATAGATATGATTTCCAACATTTTTAAAAGAGGATTAATATCAAAATATATACAAACACGCCTTATATTCTAAATAAAAACCATTAACATGATGTCCATAATAGTCCTTTCGATCTTTTTCGTTATATCATTTTTTTCCTCCTTTTTAATGCTTTTAAATAGGAATCTTATGTTACCATTGACTTGTTTCCTAGTGTTATCTTCTTTATTTTTTTGTCAGGATCTGATACAACTTGTTTCCTTCCTTATTTTAACCACAAATAATGGCGGGGGCAATTTGCAGGGTTCTACAATAGTACAAGGCATCTTTTTGTCAATTGATAGATCGAGAGAGTTATTTTTACTCAACTCAACACAACAAAGCCTTTTCCCAATTACTTGGAGTTGGCTACATGAATCATCTTTTTGAGAAATACTTTATTGCTCCAATTGTATTAAAGACATGGTATCACCAATTGATTACACACTGACACATAGTAATAGGACTCACTAAAATTAAACACTTTTAATTACGTGACAATATATAATTGGTTGATGGCATGGATGATGTAGTATTACCGGTGCAGGGAAGTATTTCTCTATTTTTTTCCATCCTTATATCCAAGATCATAAACCATATGTTAACAAATCCTAACTTACTAATTCTACCAACATTAATTTTAGTATTCTCCTTCCCCTAGCAGTATCCTCTATGTGTTCTATATCACTCTTCTTTATACATGACCAAACCATCTTAATTGATTTTCTCTCAATTTATCTCCTATTGGTGTTGAATGTATTCATTTTGAATTCTATTCTTTCTAGTCAGGGGAGTTATTTGTAAATGTGAAAATGTTGATGGGAGTTTTTTGCATTTTGCCTAAATTTTCAAAATGTTTAATGTTATATTTAAAAGTTTGAAATTAGGAAAGTGGAAATGGAAGAAAATTAAGTTGTCAATTGCAAGTTGTAAATATAGATCACTCGAAGGGATTTTTACACAAAAGTGAACTTATGGAGCCAAATATTTGAAAAATATAAAAATAATTCAAGGAAAAATTATTAATATTTCCAGACAGTTGTACTATAAGTTATAAATATTATAATTTATTAAAAAAAAATTTGGAGGGGTGGTAATATAAGAATCAAAAGGCATGCAACTAATGAATCACTAATATATATTCAACTTTATAAATGCTCAAACCAAATGGTGCCAAAAGGTTGAAGAAATTTTTTTTTGAAGGAGCTTACCCATATTTGAATTGCAATCCAGACAAATCTGCAACTTCTCTCAAAGCTTCCTTCCACCTCCTTATCTTATTCATGCCCTCCTCTTTTCTTTCATCTGACTCCAACTTGTATCTCTTTTTGTGTTTTGCAAATCCTTCTCCAAAACTTCCCTTTAGCCACCTTAAATCAGATGGATCCACATGATAGAACACGGGCAGAATCATATGACCAACAGTATTTTTGCGTTCAATGATCTTTAAAAGTTCATCAAGGCACCATGTTGAAGATGCATAGTCTTTTGAGAATACAATTACTGAAATGCTTGACTCTTCAATTGCCTTTATCAGATCTAAGGAGATATTCTCTCCCCTCTCAAGTCCATCATCATCCCTAAATGTGCGTATTCCTGCATTTAGCAAAGCTGTATAGAGATGATCGGTAAAGGTGTGTCGGGTGTCTTCACCTCTAAAACTTAAGAACACGTGATAAGAACACGGAGTTGAAAAGGCTTCCATATGCATTGAACAAAGCTCTAAGAGATGGATGAATGAACAAGGGATATGTGTAATCTGTAGAGGCACAACCAGTACTTGTATAAGATGTCAATAAATAAAAAAATAAAAAAGGAGTATTATGTATTGAAATAAACAAAATAATAAAATCCTATATATGAAAGAACAAAAGGAAAATACTTCAAAACATGTGGTTTAATAAATTATACATGAGGCAAGGGTTGAATGGAAAACACATGTGACAAAAAGTGCAGACAAATACAAATGCTTTAAACTGGCTTCAGAAAGATTTTAATTCAATGACTACATAAAATTTTGTCCGAGTCATTTGAGGTCACCTTCTGCTACATCCAGAACAGAAAACAGAATATTATAAGTTCATTTCTGATTTTATCCTCCCTAGTCTAGAGATACATCCATCTCAACATATATACATATTTAAATTTTACCCACTCTATGAACAAATATGTTATTTCTTAATCGACCAACATTAATTCTCATAAAGCATAACTAGATAATAAATGTTCAAATTGTCCTTTCAACTTTATAGACTACATTGATCACATAATACACCAGAAGCATTACTTTACACAATCAACATCATATTCAATTTTCCCACCAATTAAACAATCTAAGCCTACGGTGAATAAAAAAAATAATAATAAATCTTATAGGTTTTTCTTTACCTTAGATCTTTTAAAGCATACAAACCAAGATACAAGAGGTAAAAAAAAAAAATTTAACTTATTGGTACTAAATATTTATGTAATTAACTAAATTGTGACAATGAGCCAATGGGCATTTTAAAGGTTATAAAGGGTTACCTATAATTGCCGAAGAAAGAAAGATGTAGGTTACAGTATTAGATTGGCCGATCACTTCTCCAGAAAGATTGAATTTTTTATATTGATTGAATAACGGAGATACAGAGGGAAAAGGGTAAAAAGCCTGAAAATGGTATGAAAAGAATGTAATAAATTAGAGAAAAGAAGCATATATAGGTGGGCATCCACCAAATAGCGGCTTGTTTGCAAGTCCACCTCTGTAAAAAGTGAGAAGCATGGTGGGATAGTTTCTCGACCCCTATGGCAAGACGTCAAGAAAGAGTTATGAAGTTTCAAATTTGTTGACTAGGGAGACAGATGTCTGCTTATTCTTCATTTTCCTAAAGTTTCAAATGGTTTATCGTGCGGCTGAGCTCGTTTGTATTTTTAAGGGGCGCTCTCTCGTAATATAGCATCAATCAAAAAATGAATACATAAATAAAATAATGGGTAAAGTGCAATAAACCCCCCCTGATCTTTACTTTCTCTCCCAAAAAAACCCCCTAAACTTTCATTTTTAAAGTAAACCCCCTCAACTATTCTTCTTTTTGCAAAAAAAGTCCGGCGGCACTGTTCCTGTTGATTATCTCCCTTAAACAGGCATGTGATTAGGCTGTAATTTAAAAATGGCAAAACTACCCTTATTAAAGTTAGAATGCTAAATTAATTGCAACCCCAAATTGAAACTCTCACCCCCTGTTTTCGTCTTTATTCTTGCTTCATCATCTTCAATCCAAATCAATCTCTCAATACAAACCATACAAAGCAAACCACATGCTTCATCATCTTCAGCCTTTATTACCTTGCAACCCATTGAAGAACTCCCACCAAAGCTCCAAGAAATCATTGAACTCTTCCAAGTTGTACAAGAACCCAAGGCTAAGTATTAACAACTCTCACTCTATGGCCGCAACTTGTCTCCACCATATGGTTTACTCCTTCAAGGACTCTCCGGCCGTTTAGATCAAGAGATTTTGAGAGTTTTCTCTAGATTTGGCGGTGGACTGGACATCGAGTGATCGTCATCAACTACAAGCGGTGCAAGCCGGTTGAAAACTCGAATTCAGGCTTAAAAATTGATGTTGCCGTTTTAGACTCAAAGATCGAATGAATTATGAATTAGGCACTGGTGATATCGCCGGCGGGGAAGTGGCAATTTTGCAATCCTTGCGTCAATGGTAGTCTCTATTCAAGTTTGTCTGATTTTTTATTTTTATTTTTGTAATGTACAGATTGTTAAGGAACATAGTTTCTACACAAGAAGCTTGAGAACCAAAAATTGTATGTGAATAATCTGGAATCAAGAAAGAGTTGCAGGATAGGAAATCAATATTAAAGGAGCAGATTTCGAGTCTTACAGTTGCTATGTTGCAATGCAACAAGCTAGGGTTTCAACAAGTGAATTTCTTCTTTCCTTCAATTTCTTTTCTTCACCCAAGTTAGAGGTTGATTGGGGAGAAAGAAAAAAATGAAAGAAAATAAAAGAGAGAGGTGGTGATGGCTGCCATGGACGATGGGGTTCGTTATAAGGTTTAGAGGGAGAGCTGTGAGTGTGATTACAGAGGCTTTGAGTGGGCGGTGATCGATTAGCGCGTGGTGTGGTGTGGTGTGGGTGATGATGAGGTGGCGATGTGTTGGCGCAATATTATTGGCCATTGAGATTGCACCTGCCACGTCAGTAATAGTAACTTTTAAGATGTCATTTTATTAAAAGGGAAATTCGGTAATCTAACACCTCCGGTGATGGAAATTTTTAGTTTTGTCCTTAAATTGCATTTTTTCAATAGTTCAAGGGGCATTACTTAGTTCAGGGGGGTTTTATGCTTTTGGCTGATAGTTGTGGGGGGTTTATTGCACTTTACCCCAAAATAATTCTAAACTTTTAAATATTTATATATTTATTATGCAAATTTATTTGGTTTCTATCAAAGGGATATGATCAACTCTTAGATTTTATTTGGTTTCTAACTTTCTATCAAAGGGATATGATCAACTCTTAGAATTTACTTTTAAAAGAAAATTGAATAGACAAATACGTTTTAACAAATCGATTTAAATTTTAAATATCATTACTCTTCAACGAAAGTTCCATGCAACCACCATTTAAGACTTTGAAAACGTAGAAATAGATGTCTGATAATCCGAATCTTACATGTAACTGCCACGTAATTACCTAAATCGTTCATATTTTATTTGTGCGCTAAAGATACCAAAAATAAATATGAAAAGAAGTTGAAGAGGTTTTGACGACCCCTCTCCGACTCACGGTTCTCTCTTTTCCGCTTTGCAAAATTGAAGGGAAAACAAAGCATTGAAAAGTCTCTATTCGTTCATAAAATAAAAGGGGAAAATACATATAAACGTATATGTTTGCTTGAAGAGAAAAAAACAAACCCTAATAAGATTGAAAGTATGTATTAGAAGCAACTGAACGAAGAAGAGGAGAAATCAGAGAGATAAAGATGGGTCATCAAAACCTCTTCATGGAGGTTTCTTGCCAAAAATTTAAAGTAGAGGGGGTTTTATACAATTTGCCCTATATAATAGAATAAGGGCATTTTTATCTAAAACACATAAGGCCTTATTTTCCATCCACTCAGTTACAAGTCCCTTGCATCCACGTACAGGTCTGACCCTCGGATCGGATAGTTGAGGGAGGTTTTTTGGCAAAAAATTAGACGAGAGATTTATTGCAAACGTCCTAAGTCCAGGAAAGTTTATTGCGCTTTGCCCTTTAATAAATTACAACAATTTTAGACTCAATAACTCAACAAAGTTCAACTAGGACAAAAAAAGATAACATTGACAAAGTTTTGTCTGGAGAGACATCAACATCTGCTACATCCAAAACAAAAAATCGAATCATATAGCTTCATTTCTGATTTTATCCAGTTCTTTGACATACATCCATCTCAACATACATATTTAATTATTTATTAAATTATCCCACTCTCATAAAGCATAACAACCTAATTATAAATGTTCAAAATTTCCTTTCATCTTTTTAGACTGCATTTATCACCAGACGCAGTATTCCTAGGCATAATCAATCATCTCCAATCTTCCCTCCAATTAAACAATTAATCCTATGTAAAAATAATAATAAAAAATAAATAAATAAACTCCTATTGGTTTTTCTTGACCATAGATTTTTATTTTTTTATTTTTTTCAATTGGGGAGTTTAAATTTGTATGAATAAATGGAATAAAGAAATTTACAAACAGGCGGCCCAAACAATGGGCAAGCCCATGTAAACAACCCAAAAGTTTACAAAATGAACAAAGACGTGCAGTCTAGACAAACCCGTAGACTACTACTGATGTGTAAGCCCAAACCAATATAAAAGCAAAGCTTCCTCGAAATTGCGCAACCAAACAATGCTTTGTTTAAGTTGACCTTTGTGGAAAATAGTGTGTGAATGAGAGTTAAAGACAGGAAGTTGCAATTTCTGACTTTTTCTTTCCTTTCTTTTTCACTTTTATATAACAAATATATATATATATATATGTATGTATTTATATGTTCGTCTTTTTCTTCCTTTTTTTTCACTTATATATATACAAATATATACATATATACATTGCTGAATAAAATCCTAAAATTTTGCATACATCCCATGAGACTTTCATCTTACACCAATACATGAGTCAGCAATAATAAGAAAGTAAAAGAAGAACAACTAATCAGGGTGTGACTAATCTGATCTGGAAAAGAGAGAGACGACTGATCTAACAAATCATCAACATATATTGCTCAACTCAAGAAGAAGGAAGAAATCAGACCCATTAGTTTAGTTTATTATGTATGTAGTTTCTTTTATTTATTCACAGATACATACTCTTATACATAAACAGGGTAAAAGTTTTCAAATACAAATAGAAAATAAAAGAAAGGCACTCCATTATGACCGATTGGTGATATCCAGAAGGAAAATTTACCTATAATTGCGGAAGAAAATTCCCTCCAGCTGCGTGGATTGAAATTGTTTTGTTGATTGATGAGTAGAGAGAGGAGAAATGGATCAGAGAGAGAGAGAACGCAGTGTGTGACCAAGAAAGGAAAGTTTCAGATGATGGTAATTCGGGAAGAGGAGGAAATGAAATAAGCATTACTCCGTAATAATTAGCGGGAGTTGGTAATAATTAGTGGGAGTGGGGTCCACGGAGGAAGGCTCCTTGCGAAGGACCAAAATCGTCTCCAGCACCACAGTAATCTGTTGCAGCCGGTAAACAGTCAAATGGGTATAAAGTAAAAATACCAAAAGTGAAAAGCGTATAGCATATATATTTTGATACTGCCTCTTATACCATATGTATGGACCCACCAAATAACAAGAAAAGGGGCAAAATTTGAGTTGCATTTCAATTTTAAAAAAGGCTCGCGATTTTTTTTTCATGTTTTCATCTTCTTCGGTTGAAATGTTTGGTAGCTCTCTCTCTCTCTCTCCACAAAGAAACGCTCAATTTTTCGTGCTCTTGCTACGGTTAAACGATCCTCTTTGGATAATTCGTCCAACCCAAGGATAGCTATAATGTCCTGAAGTTCTTTGTAACGTTGTAAGTGCATGATAAATACCGCCAAAGCCGAAGAGAAAGTGATCATAGAGTATATTGTGATCCATTTTTTTCTCATCACAAAATACAAGGGTAACTTCTGAACTGGTTGAAGGGGTTCGTTTGGATCTGAAGGCAAAGTTGAGGGATATTGTAAAGATGACCTATTTTTTTCTCTTCACAAAGTAGAAGCTAAACTTGTGGACTGGTTGATTGTCTTCTTTGGAAGTGAAGGCAAAGTTGAGGGGTTTGGTAAAGATTTTAAAGCAACACATTCTCTACAACTTACTGATATTGAGTATGTTTTATAGTTTTAATTTTTTTAGTCTATTCAATGTTCTATCTTATTTTTCCCTAATAAAAGTTGGGTATAATATTTGCGATCGACTATTGATTCAAAATACTTTTATGAATTGATACAATGAAATAAAGTAAAATATGGGATTTTGTATATATATATCATTGGGTAGTCATGTGGGATGTGGAAGTATTAGAAATAGGGATTAATTACATTAACATGTTGGGATGTGCACTCAATATACTTTTTTGGATTATTCAATTCAAATTAGTTCTTCCTTTTTTGCTTTGTATAGTTATAAATGTTAGATTTTTTTTTAGAAGAGATACATGTATCAATTTATATGTTGAAATATAAATTTTATTGCTCAGACAGCATGTTAGAACAGACTTGGGATGTTGTAGTGTTAGAGATTGGGATTATTCAAATTGACATGTTGGGACGTGCACTTGAAACACATTTTGGGAATATTCAATTCAAATCAATTATTGATTCAAAATACTTGTACGAATTGATACAGTGAAATAAACTAAAATATGGGATTTTGTATATATATATCATTGGGTAGTCATGTTAGAAGGGATGTGAAAGTATTAGAAATAGGGATTAATTATATTAACACGTTGGGATGTGCACTCAACATACTTTTTTGGATTATTCAATTCAAATTAGTTCTTCCTTTTTTGCTTTGTATAGTTATAAATGTTAGATTTTTTTTTTTTGAAGAGATACGTGTATCAATTTATATGTTGAAATATAAATTTTATTGCTCAGGCGGCATGTTAGAACAGACTTGGGATGTTGTAGTGTTAGAGATTGAGATTATTCATATTGACATGTTGGGACGTGCACTTGAAACACATTTTGGGAATATTCAATTCAAATCAATTATTCATTTTTTTTGCATTGTATAATGACAAATGTTACAATTTATTTGAAGAAATAGGTGTATGAATTCATATGTTGATATGAATGTCAAAAAAAAAAAAAGAAGAAGAAGAAGAAGATTTTGTATATATTTCATTGGTCGTCAGGCATGTTAGGATTCTTAGAGATGGGGATTATTCACATTAATATGTTGGGACGTCCACTTCATGAACTTTTTGGGATTATTGAATTAAAATTAATTTTTTCATTTTTTGCATTGTATAATTATACATGTTAGATTTTATTTTGAAGAGATACGTGTATCAATTCATATGTTGAAATGAACTAAAAAGGGGGGGGGGGGGGGGGGATTTTGTTTATATTTCATTGCTTAGGCATGTTAGAACTGAGTTGAGATGTGGTAATCTTAAAGATGGGGATTATCCAGACTGACATATTGGGACGTCTACTTCATACAATTTTTGGGATTATTCAATTAAAATTAGTTTTTCCCATTTTTACATTGTACAATTATAAATATTAGATTTTATTTTAAGAGATACGTGTATCAATATTCATATGTTGAAATGAAGTTTAAAAAGAAAAAAAACAAAAGTGATTCTGCATATATTTTCATTGGTGAGGCATGTTAGAACATAATTAGGATGTTGTTGTCTTAGATATGGGGATTATTCACATTAACGTATTGGGACGTGCTCTTCATACACTTATGGGGATTATTAAATTCAAATTAGTTGTTCCCTTTTTTGTATTGTATAGTTATAAATGTTATATTTTTGGAAGAAATGTTTTATGCAGTTCATTAGTGATATATGACCAAACTAAGTTGGGATGTGCAACTCTTAAGTGGTCATTGGTGTTCCTATATTTTAAATTTAAGTTCTTCCATTATCGTTTCTATTTTATATACCTGCAGTAAGTTAGAAAGAGCATTGGATTTGGTTTAAATTTCATGAGTGACACATTATGTTACTTAAATTATGTTGTAGGTTAAAAATTTTACTCCTTTCGATGGAAGATGAAATGATAGATATTGAAGACACAACAAATGTTGTAGTTATAGAGCCCTAACTGAATCAATGGAAACCAAGGTTTAAGATGGAGTTTGATATGGAACAAGAGGCATACGAATTTTATAATGCATATGGGGGTAGAGTTGGATTTAGCATCCAGATGGAGTATTTTAGTAATAGCCGTAAAACTGAGAAACTTTTAACGAGGTTGTTTACTTGTTACAAGGAGGGTGTTAGGAAGAAGGATAGAAGGGACAAACATACAACGACTCCGCGAGTTGAAACAAGAACTGGTTGCGGTGCACGAATTCATATTAAATATGATGAAGCAAAGGGAAAGTACTTAGTTGATAATTTTGTAGATAGTCACAACCATCCCTTGATAATTGATGAATGCACCCACATGATGCCGTCGCAGAGATGTATTTCTAGCATCCAGGCCATAATGACCAGCATACAGAATAAGCTTTAATATGGTGAGGCAGCATGGCTCACCAATTATTTTGTCACTTATGCTTATGATGATCCTTCATTTTTCTATGCCTTATAGTTGGATGCTGAACAGATGATAACCAATATATTATGGGCAGATCCTAAAATGATAACTGATTATGGCCATTTTGGAGATGTTGTAACTTTCGACACTACGTACAAACTTCTACATGGCAACTGTCCTTTTGCATTGTTTTTGGGTGTTAATCAACACCAGGAGACGACTGTATTCGGGGCAGCCCTTATGTATGATGAGACGTCAGATTCATTTGTGTGGTTATTTGATACTTTTTTGAAAGCGATGCCTGGAAAGATACCAAAAACAATTTTGACTGATTGAGATGCAGCAATGGCGAAGGCTTTGATGCAGGTAAGTTGAATTAAGATCTCCACTCCTTTTCATATACTGAAAATACCTGTAATGCCTAATTGATACAATGAAGTAAATAATGGGAAGATGTTTATTATTCTAACATATCCTTTATTGTGATTATGGTTAAAGCATTTATGTACACATAATGATTGTATAGGGAAGTACATGAAGCATGTGGTAATAGATGAATAATGATTTTAATAAGCATCTATGCGTAAATGTATTTTCTTGTAGTTGCAGAAATTGGAAACAACCAATAATATGATAAAATAAGAATAAAATATATATTTTATATGTGTTTTCCTACTATAGCTATAAATTGGTTGTTAGGTTTGATTAAATTTAAATGCATTCAATGGCCCATACATGTTGTTAGAATAAAGTTCGAGTTTAAAAATATTATACTGTGTTGGAATATTATAATTTGGTGTTTAGGGTTTATTTTAAATGTCATGACTGAAACATGATTTTATGTTTTAGGTCATGCCTGGTACAAAACATCATCTATGTACGTGGCATCTAATGCAAAATGCACAAAAGCATGTTGAGTTCTTGTTTAAACGTGATGAACGCATCAAGAATGTGATATCTAAATTAATGTTCGAAATTGAGGAGGAGGAACAATTTATGTCAAAATGGGATTCAATGCTAAGGGTGTATGATCTTGTTGGTAACACATGGCTTGAACATTTGTTTAGCTTGAGACATAGATGGGCCATGGCATTCGTTAAATATACGTGGTGTGCGGGATGCGCACTACGCAATTGAGTGAAAATTTCAATGCTCGCTTGAAGGAATACTTATCGAGGCAACTCATTCTTCCTGATTTCTTCACCCATTTTGATAGGTTGTTGTCGGATAAGCGTTACAAGGAGTATGAAGCCGAGTACCGTTTACTGCAGAGGCTTCCACAAGTTAAATCAAAGTGTGACATGTTACTTAAAGCGGAGGAGACATACACAAAAGTTATATTTCAGCTTTTTCAGGAAGAGTTTTTAACAGCTTGTGTAAGTGATAATGTTAATAGTTGCAGTGACATGGATAACAATAGACAATATGTTTATGAAGTTACTAATCGTAACGGGATGCAACGTTCTGTGACTAGAACAGTTGAGGATGAATTATCTTGTTCATGTGGTAATTTTGAAATGAATGGATTTTTGTGTAGTCATATTTTAAAAATCCTTAAGGATTGTATGAACATCACTGAATTGCCTTCTCAATATATATTAAGAAGATGGACTAGGAAAGCCAAAGATGGGAACTTGGATGAGATTCTTAGCTGTGAAGTGTTGATGGATCCTAAACTTGAGGTAAGGCGACGACACAGGACCCTTTATCGTATTTTGACCGAAATATCTTCCATTTCCATAATTTGTAATGAACACTATAAAATGTTGCAGAGTTCTATTGGTGATTCATGGTTGTTTTCATCTGAACTATTTAGTACTCCTTCTTCATATGGCGAATCGTGCACGGCTAATTTGGGAAGTCAAATGGTATATATTTTTAAAAAATTTGTCAGCCAAATCAATATTATTATCTGTTATGAGTTATTTCTTTATTTTATCTAACAATTCAAATTTCTTTCCACGGTCATAAATAAAGACACCTACTCTGAACCTCAGGCAATTGACTTCCACAGAAATGTCACAGCTGCCAAACTCAGAGATTAGTCGTCCAATTCAACAACAATTGTTCAAATATTGAGTAAGCAATGTTTATGTATTTTACTTTATCCATGTCGACTTTGTCTAATTCTCTGCCACTGTATCGAAAAGATAATTTTAAATTACATACATCTCTAATTGGGCTAACGAATGACTATGGTATCTGCAGCAAGAAAACAAATGAGGGAGCTTTTGGTTTTCTGAATTTTTAAATGAATTCGTCTGCCATAGTTAAGTGTAGTTTGGCGTTGGTACTACCTCCAAATGGGATTTGGGTTGTATGGATGAATTTTGTATATACTTCCTAGTTTGGTAGGTTAGCATAGTTAAGTTGCACCGGAGGAATTTATATTTCGGTCATTTGCCAATTGTTATAAACGATTATTTTATGTATTTGTGGATATATGCATTTGGCAATTATGGTAAACTATTGGTTTTTTTGCTTTCACTTTTCACAAGTAAATGTATAGTTTTGCAAATGATAAAACCCAACATTTTCTTACTATGCATCTAAACACAAAAACTTAACTTCATCCTAATATTTTCCCAAATTGTATCCCAAATTATTCTGACCAGCTGGGACAATTGTATTGTTGCATTAAATAAAATAAGTGGCGGACTAAACTTTCAGCTGACTCACTATATAGTGTTAAGTCTTTAGTTTTGATGTTCATATATACTTAATTCAATATTCTCTCACCTATTATGATAATTACATACATCACTAGTCAAACTAAATTGTGTTAATCAATGTTTTGCAGCTGGGACATACAGATGTATTGTTGATAAGTGGCAGAGTAAACTTTCGGCCTTCTTAGTATACTGACATGGAAGTCTGACGTTCATAGTTAAATCACTACTTAAACTAGATTCTATAAAAGTTAATTTGATCATAGCATCACACTAACTAGTTCATTGCAACAATACTTTCAGTTAAGGGGTAGGTAAAAAACAAAAACACTAATTCATAAGCAATACATAGGTGTATGAGGGCCTTCAAATATGATCCATTTTCATCATATCACAACTGTTAATGACATAATAATTTGATTCAGTGTGTCACCAAAATTTACTAAAGTGCATCCCAAGTTTATCCCTACTAGCATCCCAAAATTGGCAAACATTAGCATCCCAATAATTTTGTATAATGAATCCCAACATTTTCATACTGTGCATCTTAACACACAAACTTGTTGCATCTCAACATTTTCCCAAGTTGTATCCCAAATTATCCTCACCAGCTAGGACAGATGTATTGTTGTATTAAATAGAATAAGCGGTGAACTAAACATCAGAAGTTTCAATATTATAAAGAGATCACAATTACATCACTAATTGCTGGTCATATCAATAACCACCAACATCAGAAGTTTCAACATTATAAAAACAAACATACTCAGCAAGGAAATGTTCTCCCACAACTAAATTATCAAACATGTTCTCAGCAAGCTCAACCAATAGAGGAAGAGGGGGAAGAAGAGCGTGGGGTAGCCTCCCCCTTCCTGTTCAGATCTTCCATCCACCAGTTTTCCCACATCTTCCTCCAACAAGGTCGCAATTGGTTATGCGTTTGGACAACCTTACTGTAGAAGTGGGCAACCTAATTGCAGAAGTGGGCAACCTGACTGCAAAAATGGGTCAGATGAAAAACCACTTGAGGGTGTTACACAGACGTGTGCACCATGGTGCGTCGTTCACCACATAGCTTACAGAATTGCATTAAGGTGAGGGCCAAGTTTTACATTTATAATTGCCTCCACTACCTTTCACTAAAAATATAGTTAGGGCAAGTAGGGATCGTCCCAAGGGATTGGTGGGTCGTACAAGGTTGAGGAATCAAAATTAGGATTAATAGGTCGAGTGATCAAAATAGTGGTTGGTTGGTTGAATTACACTAGATGCAAATTAAACTAAAGTAAACAATAATGCAATAAAGAGAATAAAAGAGAGAGAGATCTTGGGGTTTAGAGATCACCACTAAGCATACTTTTCTACACCCTTAATGAATGATTAATGAGGGAAAAACATGTATTGCAACATAGTGTGTGTGTGTGGTTGTTTCAACAAGCATGGATGATAAATTAAGCATATATTGTCTAAGCAACATGGTGGATAGCACAATATATCAAACTAAGCCATTAATCCTTTCATTAAGCTCATAATCCAAACATATCACAAGGTTAGAGACATATGCTACTTGCATTCAAAAGCATGGAATATCAAGCAATAAGCATGGATTGTCCTCCCATTTAACAACTACACTACAACTACGCTAATGACATGAAATTAAACTAATTAAACTAAGGGACATGCACAATCCATCAAGAAATGAGTATGAACCATCAAGTAAATCATAAAAGCATTCCATTAAGCACTATGTTTTGACAATCTCTAGATCTATAACATTAATACACATAGATATGCATCAATAACACAAGAAATAGAGATAAACACATGAACATCTATTCTAGCATACATAGACATATGGATAAAATGAAATGATCAATTGGAAGCATTAAACCACACAAATCATTGAATAAACAAGATCTATTTATAAATAAGTTTCAAAACATGTATCACAATACAAATCCCTTAATAATACACAAATCAAGATGTAGAAAGCATGCTTAAGGCTAACTCTAGCCCCAAGAGGATGTCTAGCCACTCATGGATGATGTCTTCCAACCCTCAAGGGCAAGCTCCATGGAAGAAATCTCCTCCTTGGTTGAAGAAGAACCTCCAATGGTGTCTCTAGCCTCCTCTTCTCTTTTGCTTCCTCACTAAGAATTCTTTAAAAACTATGGTTGTGTGTCAACCCCCCTCACAAAAGTTGCTCAAATCCTCCTTTTTGGTAGGTTAGGTGACACCCAAAAATGATCTAGCACGTACTCTAATATTCTCCCAATGATTGGATAAGGATAACTTTTTATGAGCTAGCAATTTAACTTTTTCGCACTGGAGAAAGTTCGATCGATCAAACCTTGACCTTAGATCAATCGAACATGGCTGAGATCTATCGAACTGAAGCTGGATCGATCCACCTTGGTGGCGCCTTTTTGGATAAGAACAAATCTGAGATATTTTTGAGAAAAGGACAAAAGTGGTTGGTAGGGTGGTACAGCTGAATAAGATCTAGCATGTGGATAAGGATAAAAAAGTTCGATCGATCAGAGAATCAAGTTGGATCGATCGAACTTTGAGATCTTTGAATAGGGACAAACATGGCTCAGATCCATCTTGAAGTGCTGAGATCGATGAAAGTTGTATTGATCAAACTTTTCTTGAGATCGATCGAAG